TTACCCTTTGATATAGCATTCCATTTAAAACTCTACAGAACAGGGTATAAGAATTATTATTAAAAATAAAAAATCACTGTAAACATTCTTTTTTCTCAAAATGTCCAAATCAAAGAGCTTAATCACCAAGCGCATAGAGGCTTTTTCGCATGATGCGCTCTACAAATCCAACTATTATTATTATTATTATTAATACTGTAGTGTTATTCCATCAGAGCTGATATATCATTATGTCACTTTCTTATGCTAAATCAGCCCTCTGGAAAGAAATATAGTTGCAAATGATTGTGCCAAAACTCTCTGTACAATAGTCCATTAAATAATTTAGATTTTCCAAATGTAAGGTGCTATATAAATCATGAATTAATATGATGACCTATATATATTATGTATTTTACAACCCTGTTTTTATTAAGACATAAACAGTAAGTGTTATCAATTTGCCTAAAAAAAACACATTAAAACTGGTAATCATAGTTGGTTCACTGTACAAAATACAGGTACTTTTAAATTTGTTGAACTATGGGTAATAAATTATTATATCTCTTTGCATTAAAGTCGGGCTCCGGAGGAAAAACATTTTTTGATATGTAAAAATGGGCAGTTACGCCCCTTTTTCCCCCAGTTTTTAAATATTAAAAAATCTGTATCTCATTCACCATTCCCCAGTTTTTCGTCAAACAACTTTTTTCTGTCTTAGAAAAATCAGTTCTACAATTTTTTTCCTCCGGAGCCTGACTTTAAAACAAAGAGCATAATTAGCAAAAAAAAGATTTTATATATTTAACTATTTATTGTTTCAGCAAATGAATATTTTGTGGTAAAAATTGGAAAAATCTTAACTTTGAATGAAACTCGGATTTTAGAAATTCAGTTTTTCGCTAAGTTGAATTCATAAATTATCTGCCAGTCAATGGCAGTGGCTACTGTTACACCAATCTTGAGCAAATTCCTAATTCTGATTGGATTCTATTTTATGTATGTAAAATAACAATAACATTCAATCAGAATTAGGAATATACTGTAGTTAAGACTGGTGTAACAATAGCTACTGCCATTATTAAATCAAAGGTCTATGGAACGGCATTATACCTCTGTCAAATAATGAGACATATACTTCTTGTTTTATAATTTACAGTTGAAAGCAAGTAAATAAATAGTATGCAATTAATTTTTTAAATTATATTCTTAAATATGATTTGCTCAATATAGGGAGCATTTTTAATCAAGGAATCTTAACTATAATAATTTTGTTCAATAATGTATATAAATAATTCATTAATTATTAAATTAATAATTTGCAAATGTAGGTTCATGGTATTAATTTTGTATGATATTTTATATTAGAAAAATGTAGAAATAATAAACATGATATATAATAATGATTATTGTTTTATTATTCCAAATTGATTAAAAATTGTTACTTTCAGAAAACATCTCGTTGGAGAAGACAGTGTGTTTGAAGATGCTATTATTATTTAAAATATAAACACCTCAATCAAATATTGACAAAAAAAAAACATCTTTGTGTATAGATTATAAGTGCAAAATCACAGATGTCTGTCTTAATATATATTATGTAACACAGGAAAATACACAACAAATGCTATTGTAATAGACATGAAAAATGTATAATAATAATACTGTAATAATAATAATAAAAAATAATAATACTAATAATAAAACTGTATTTATATATAGCGCCTAATGGATTGCAGATCCCTTATAGGTATTTTACATTAAGTCTTTAAAAACTACCCTAAAAGCTTAAATTGAAGCCCATATACAAGCATGATAATGTAATATCAAATCATACCATACAGTAAATGCTCTAAAAAGCGCTGCTCTCGAATAAGTGCTGCTAATGAAGCGCCACACCAAACCTGATTTTTTCAGCTAAGGGCCACTCTCAAATAAGCTGTGTGTAATGAAACACTTTGAGAAACATATGAACAAGTCACATGTATTGTTACATACATATTGGTAGTGAATTAATAGAGCTTAATGTTGCTGGTTCGATTTCTGCAGCAGTCAACATTTTCATTGTTCCACATTCTTTACTGAAAAAATATAAATTATAATACAGTGATAATAAAAAGATATACTTCAAAAAATAACATGCAATTAGTAATATTAATATATTGCTATTCTGCCCTCAAATATAAAAATTTATAAACAAAATTGTTCTACAATCCTATATTACTGGATCATTTTATACATTTTGATACAAATCCATCATCTCCCCTTCAATAGTGTCATTCAAAACCAAACTATCTGACACATCAGTGCATGCAATACCAACAGTATGTAGGAGGTGTGACATTTTAAAAGGTCAATTTGAAACCTGCTCCGAAATCGATGGGTTGTGAAGGACTATTGCAGGGTTGTCAGGTCGTTTCATTATTTCCGAAAAAAAAAAAAAGTTAAAAATGTCTTCATACAGTGTCACAAACATGAAGTCAGAAGATATATTCCTGCAAAAAAAAAGGCATTTGATCCCAGCCGAATGATCGATTATTCATTAGCAATTCTGTTAAAGAATTCAGCGAGGTTATGTTGGCTAGAGCACGCAAGAACCGTGTTAACCATGCCAGTCAGCAATGCAGAAAATCTACGCTAACTTCTCTAGTCAGCATCGCAGAATGTAACGACTCTTCTTTAGATGTCCGAAAATAGCAAACGCACTGCCATGAAAAGGAAAAGACCATGTACCGTTGAACTGTTGTTGTCGGCGGGTGGTCATTCCTGAGGGAATGCAGTGTATTAAAGCGGTGTTTCGATATTGACAGCTCTCTCTCATTTTTTTTTTCCTCCTAACCTGCATGATTTTCATTCATATTTTTACATAATGCTTTTACTTATACAGTACTTTACTTAACTGGCAAAATACCACAGAACACCGACATGTGTGCGACAGATTGTTCTTCACGACATTCCACATAGATTGCAACCAAAAATGGGCAGATCTGTATTGTGCATGTACTCACAAAGATCATATTTAGATCACCTGTGCAGGGGGACTTCTTCTGACTCTAGGAGTGTGTCTTTTTGAATGTGGATAACCTTATATTAATAATATCAGAGATCTAACACCTTAAACAGTCTGAGTCTGTTAACAGTCCTAACCTTTGTGCTACTGCATATGTGTTACTTATGACAATATCCATTCTTGTGATGGCACTTGTATTTGTGTTCTCTTGGTGTGTGGCCTTCAAGGACGTTTTCATGCAGTCAAATCCCTCTGTGTTAAAAAAAAAAAAAAATTTATTAATTTGTAGGACGTATACATTGTGGTACTTAGTCATACAAAATGTGCAATCTACTCCATCCACTAAGTTATTCTAAATCCTTTCCACATCTTACCAGGCTATTTATACACCTGAGTAGCAATAACAGGCTTGGCATCACCCCTGGCACCACACTTGACTTTAAAATTAAATAAAACGTGTAACAAACATCATGCCACTTAGGACCTTCTATCAAGACCAACAATCAAAATGGATCAGTCATGTTTCAAGAAGACCAAATGATGATTCTTGTAACATTCTCACATTTCACTAAAGCAACAAGCGAAACAAGAGGAAAGAATAACCAAATCTTGTTTTTCAACGCATCGTAGATGACAGTCAACTTGGTAGAAATGCCAATTTATCAAAGAGAGTTTCTCCCATAAATATTAATTTAAACCAGGGAACAGTGAAATCACTGTGACCTGGTTTAATCAGTTTTGTACAGTACAGTAGCATCCAGTTTTCCATATTATTTGTATGTTTGGTCTTTGTTTATGCACAGGTCTCTGATGTTATTGCCAAGTTGGGTTGTGAACATCGAAGACCCCACATTTTAATTGGTGAATTAGTTTAAGACTGGTGTAACAAAAGCCACTACCTAACATGAAATGAGGATAGCCAATTACTCACATTTACCAACACAAATGCTTCACTTGGCAAGGCTTAAGGTTGTACACATCTGCTTGTAAGTCATTCTTCCTTTTGTCAACATCATTCTAATGGACTCCTAAAACAAAAACATTTAATTCAATCAAGTATTGATGAATCTCATCAGTGGAGGATCCAGAAAAAAATCTGGGTTGGGGTAATGTGACGTGCAGAGCACCGAGTAGGGGAGGGGTTTGGGTTGTGTGGTTATTACAAGTTAAGAATAGGGAGATTTTCAATCTGACAAAAACAATAACGAATTATATTATCATCATTCGTGCATAAAACATTCTTAATAATACATATACGATCTATATATATATAATCGTTTACGGAACTTTTGGTGACATCCAAGTACTTCACGAACTTGCTGAT